TTCTCAGCTCTTATCTGGTTATGCAGCTTAGTTGTGACAATGATGGATTTAAAACTACTACACCGTGGAGTGGTGCCCGCGTAAATTTGAACCGGAAAACAGCAGCACAGTTGTACAGGATTACATTCTGTTTGGGTTTTCACCAACGGTCGAGCCATGCGATTTTATACCAATTACGCCTCAGCAACTGTGTATCAGCGATGCCATAACAATCGGCTAACACATATTCGTGTTTCCATTGTGGATCAAGAAGGGCACGTTGTTGATCTGCGCAATTCAACATGGATGATTCAACTGTAAATCTAGAGATCGACCTGACATTTAATAATAAAATGAGAAAGGCGTGCACGTGTGAAACCAGTTCACATAGTTAACGCGAGGAAACTTGCGTATATGACAGTATGGGCTTTGGGATGATATTCATGGATTATTTGCGAGTGCACCCATTGCTAAACAAGTTGCATCTCGAATTGTGGATAGTATAAAAAGTGCTACTATGGATCAAGTAAAACAACTGGCCGATTAGTAACACGAGCACTATCAAAGACGGTTCCAGTTACATTACCATCGATAGAACAATGTCGCCTACAGTTTATAAAATGATCAATGAGGCCACTCAGCAGCGATTGACAGATTCAACAATTAGTAATTTGGCAATGGGGAGTGTATTTGCACGGTGTTAAAAGAAAAACAATAATGTATAGTACCTAATGACTGATGGCCTATTTCAAAGATATTTCTCATCCAGCATCTGACACGTGAACGCATGTATTAGTGTATCGAAACAAGAGATTTTGAGTATTACGTGTATCCATCCAATCAGTTGTAAATAGAATTGCAACTGCAAGACACATCTGTTTTTCCTTCCATGTGTATTTTTAAATTACGGGATAACAGTTACAGAATGACGGAACCGATTATCCCGCCAATACTACAGATGGATATGTTAACAATGTAGTCATGGCGTTGTTCAAGGGTGCACATTATTCCATTGACGGAAAGGAAATCAAATCTATTTTCGACAACGTTGATGTTGTCACGGATTGGTATAAATCCCTTTATTTATTAAAAAATATGTACTCGGTTTTCGGTTGTGTGCAACGATTTCCGAGAGTGATTTATGTATATTGTATAAAATTTCGAAACATTGAGTTCGATTCATCATATGCTTCACGTATGAAGTGATTTCGAAGAAGCGCATACTTCCAGCTCACAGGCAATGTAGAGTTGCATAGTCCGTGTAAAAATGCGTCACCGTAAAAAAGCTTTGCATTACAGAACGTCTTGTCAATGTGCAGTCTAAGTAAGGAATTGCACATCTTCAGCTGTATACGTCTGTAGTTATTTATTACTTTTTTACGCATATTATAAGTTATAACAATTGTACTACTACGATTTTTAATATTTTCTATTTAGCTTCGGCTTACGTAGTATAATGCAAATATTTTCTATTCTTGGTTGTGACTTAGCAAGAGATTTATATTAGCAATATAAAGTTGCATTTTCAAGAAACGTTTAGCACCGTAGGATTCTTTTCGGACACGGGTAGGTTCACTTTTGAACCTGTTTATTGCTTTGTAATGTTGTGCATATAATTCAATTTGTGTAGCTTTCCGTATATAAAATCATTATATGTTATGGTGTATGCTCGTGTCGTGCGTAGTACACGGTGTTAAATGTATTTTCAGCTGATAGGAGTCGACTAGGTACCACCTATAGAGATAACTATAGAAGTTGACCATATCAGTTGTAAAGCTGAACCATAGCAGCCGTATAGCAGAATGAAAGTGTTGTTAGTCGAGTAGCAGGTGATAGGGCGTTGTTGACCGAATTGGTGGGCACTGATTGCTTGATTGACCAAGGAATTCAATGGTGGTCGGTGACTACCTGAAATGATGACTAGCTGATTGACCAGTGTGATTGGTAGCCAAGTATGCTAGTGGCGAAGTACTTTGTTACTCCATACATGTAACCTTTTAGCTAATTTTGTGGTTTGCTATACCCAGTGTTTTGGGATTGTAAAGATATATTGTATGTCATTTTGTTTTCATCATTATTTCACTATTTGAGTGAATACGTTTTACTATATGAGTAAAGTACATCATTTTGTACTATTTTGAGTAAAACACATTGTCATGTGTCGAATTTTGAAAACTCTTAGAAGCTTTGGTTAAAGGAATTGTATCATAGTCAACTTAATTAAAGTAGAAAGGGCTAGAGATAGTTAGATGATTATTTTCATTTCATCTCTGAACGTCAAAAGGGAATTTGTTCTAGCCGACGTAACATGACCGAGTCAGATGCTATGGTACAAGAGAATGACAAAAGACTCTTTCCCAAAATCGACCGGGGAAGGGCGGCAGCTGGCTATAGATGATTGTTCAAAGTAATGATTAATTACGGCATGATTAGTTGTTTAGTTGTCTTGTCAATCCAAAAATTCTACGGAACAGGTTTAGGAAACAGTCTATTCCGATTGGTTAATATGGATTTATGGGCGTTACTCTGTAAGAAATTAAAGGTTTTACTTTAGGATAATTCAGCAGTCTTTAATCTTTCGCGAAGTAAGTTAAACAATTCGGGGATCGTGTAAGACGTTATCTCGTGAGTTGGCAGTAAAGCGGGGGGGGGGTGTCTCAGCGAGTAGGCAAACTCTACATTCTGAATTCGTAAAAAGTACGTTTTCATTATAGAGTAAGGGGCCAGATAGTTGTCTCAGTTAGGAGACGGACTATACGTGAGGTTCGTGGAAACGAATAAAGAAAAGTCAAAAGGTACGCAATCTTAGTTTCCCGATTTTAATATGTTATTTCATTTGTTGATTTTATTTCAAATGTATTCTTGATATGATGTATGTGTGTATGATTTCATTTTGCAGGATTTTAGTGAAATGCTAGTCATGACATTTTATTCTTTGATTTTCTAATTATCAATTCATTTGGAGAATTGGCAAGATTGAATGTAATTAAAATTTCATTAGATTAGTTGACAAGATTGCATGTAATTGAATCTTTAATACATAGGAGTGATTAGGAATTTAAATTAATTAAGCTTAAGGAATGATGGCTAATGTTTCATAGTTTTATGGATTAGCTCTGTTTAAAATGAGTATGACCTTATATTAAATGTATATCCATATACTAGTTTGTAATATTTATTTGATCACTTAAGTGTATATCTATATGCAAGTTTGTAATATTTAATTGGGCGAGTAAACTATTTTAGAATAGTTAGATCTGAGGATCTAAGCCATATGTAACTTAACAGTGCTAGATTGGTAGTGGGGGTTACATACAGGTTCATACGGCTGAGTTGAATTTAATTGACCATCCCTAGCGTGATCCGAATTAAGGTCAGGACAAGCATTGGCCGTTTATGTAAACATAACAGTTAGGGAGCAATGAGTTACTGCGGCAGAATTTATGCCTTTTGTTTTCTGAGCCGAATTAGTGTAAAAATATAAATATACCTGGGAATGTGACATATTGTCTATTGCGAGACATTTTATTTATTGAAGGAAACAGCTTTCCTGGATTCACATGAGAAATCCCTGAATACTCACAGGACCAGAACAAATTCTACGCAGAAATCTAAGTCCAGAGATGATTTTTAAGTCAGAGTTCAACGGACAAGAGTCCAAGACGAAACAGCTAGACAAAGACCGGCAGAGCAGGGACGAACGGAAGTCTTGATGTCCGCATAAAATAGGTGATGAAGTCTCTCATCGTTGCACTCAAAGGTCACATCTCATTGGCAATGAAGATAGTAATTTAACGTTGAAAGTAATTTTACATTTAAAGAAATTTGTATTGTCTTTTTATTTGAGTACATGTTAGTACCATTTTCCTTCTTTTGTAACCAAGTCATTGATTTCTTTTCATTTTAAATTCTGTTGATAAACTGATTAAATTTTATATTTGTTCATTTAAAGGGGCTCGTAGTGTGTATTTCTTCAATATACTTGTTCAGTGATCTGCATTCTTCTTTCTATCTATCCACACTGGGTAAACTACACCGCGGAGGTCATTCCCTAGCAACGAACCGTAGTGAAAGAGGTTGGTGCGGTTTGCACACCGCCAATTTGTCACACACATCATTCTTTTCTTTGTGTGAAATTAAATGGTTTTAAGAACAGGTCCAGGAGAATTATGGGAAGGCGACTCAGTCAACGTTGGTATGTGAGAAAATTTGCAGCAGATTGCCATGGGTCGATGGATTTTCCTCCACCATATCAACTGGCCGCCATGTAATGCCTGTCACGTGCTAAAAACTAGCATTATGCTTAAAAATGCAACAGAGCCGAAACCTTCTAATCCAAGGGTCACTGGGTCCAATCCTTCCCAGGCTGCCTTTTGGAAATGCATTTAGTTTCGATTTACTCGGCATAACATAGTCGCATCAAAACCAAAATAGTTCAATAGATCAAGTTGACTAGTCATCAGTATAGAAGTGATTTCAAACAGAGGCAAGTTTGGACGACCGGCTTAAATAAAGATAAATTGCTATTGTTACATTTTTTCAAATATCGTTTTGTATCCGGTCACAACAAGAGTGAAATCAAAAAGAGACACAAACACTGAGTTTTAAAATCGTAATAAGGTAGTATACAAAAGGGGGTCAATATGCTTGGCTGCTTGCGGAAGAGAACGCAGCATAAATTTAGTAACATCGTCTATGTATGTATATATGTATTTTGGTCGGCATGAATGTAGGTAGGTAGGTTGGCAGTCAGGGATGCCACGGGATGTTGGATGAATGGCACTTGACAGCCATTAACTTGAATTCGCTCACAAGGGAAGATATTTTTTTATTGTAAAGATGTAAGTGTAGACTAGAATTAGTATTATTTTGCTTGGTCATACCCTCATCTCTTATAAATTGGGAGTTGGGTGGGTATGACATTGTCTCCGCAGTTGCATTTTCTACTTGAACAGGACCGTTCATGTTCCCAATTTATTTTTTTTCTCTTATGTTGCAAACCAACATTAAAGAACAGCTCCGGTGGCCTAGTGATTAGAGCTTCCGCATCGAATGCGGGAGGTCGTGGGGTTCGATCCCCAGCAGAGTCATACCAGAAACTTACAAAAATGATACTAACCGCTGCCTCGCTTGGCGCTCAGTATTAAGATGCTAGTGTTAGGACTGGTCGGCCTGGTCAGGATAATGTGACTGGGTGGGATATCATGCTACGTGTCTGCAGCATGATGCCGTGGTGCTAGACATCACTATAAACTGCCGCATTGCAGACATCGTAGCGATATGACTGAACAATTAATTGTTAAAGCTACGTTAAAAAGCTAAATCTTACACACACACGCGCGCGCTAGCGCTAGCGCTAGAAATAGACTGAGATGCGGAGACACCTATTAATTTTAAAGCAATCTAGACATTTCTCCATCTACATGGCATAAGAAAAAGACAACCCCCAACCTCAACCCCCCAATGAATGAAAGAAGAAATAAAAAATTCACCACTTTCTGTTTATGAGACCACACACGATTGTATGGTATTTTAGGGGTTTGAAATAAAATCAACAATACACACACTAAATTGTATATATATATATATATATATATATATATATATAGATAGATATATATATATATATATATATATATATATATATATATATATATATATAGATAGATAGATAGATAGATAGATAGATAGATAGATAGATAGATAGATAGATAGATAGAATACAAATCATATGGCGAATAACAGCCCTTTCAAGCGTACTGGATCCACCAAGGGATCACGTGTGTCAGGGATTAATTAAAATAGATGCAATAAACTGACGACGAACAGAAAGAAACTAGTAACTAACTAGCCTAAGCGCTTTCGACTCTTAATGAGTCTTTTTCAAAGACAAATACAAAACATATATATATATATATATATATATATATATATATATATATATATATATATATATATATATATATATATATATATATATATATATATATATATATATATATATATATATATATATGTTTTGTATTTGTTTGTCTCCACATGTGTTAAAACTATAAATACAACCAGCTTGTATAGACTAGTTGCGGAGTTTGTAGAGGTTTACAAACACAACGTTTTTGTGTTTATTTGTTTGTCGTATATATGTTTTGTATTTGCCTTTGAAAAAGAGTCAGTAAGAGTCGAAAGCGCTTAAGCTAGTTAGTTACTAGTTTCGTACTGTTCGTCGTCAGTTTATTGCATATATACACACATACATGCACGCACACACACACACACACACACACACACACGGCATATGTTGGTCAGCAAAGTTGTATTTAACATTGGTTTCACTATCGTAAAAGTAAAAATCCGTATGTGTATCTGAACTTTTGTACAAATTTTATTCATAAGATAGCTTTAGGAATGCATTATATTTAGTCCGATAAAGGAATGAATGTAGTTTTTTTGGCGTAAGGGGTGTGTGTGTGTGTGTGTGTGTGTGAGAGAGAGAGAGAGAGAGAGAGAGAGAGAGAGAGAGAGAGAGAGAGAGAGAGAGAGAGAGAGAGAGAGAGAGAGAGAGAGAGAGAGAGAGAGTTAATTTTCCCATACACTAACCCGTTATGATACACGTCGCTCGCATTAAATTCAGATCACGTGTAGGTCAATCTATACAGTGTCATTATGTTCCGCCTGGAAGAAATCGGCAGTAAATATCGAACTACTCGAGGCTTAGCGACATGTTTAAACAGTAACTGAACAAGGGAGTATTTCAGGCTGATGAATGGAAGAAAGCATTGTTTCTGGGGCGAAAGTATGAATATTAAGGGATGCTTCTTCATTTCCATGACTGTTGTTAGATGTAAGTATAACTGATGATTAATTAAACAGCTCGAATCGTGGATAGCATACAATAGTGGATATGAATACAAAACTCTTTCCATTCTATGCACCCTTATAGGGGCCCACAAGTAGTCAACCGAGGTAAGTTTTCTTCCAACTCAACCGCCCTTGAAATTTGTTACAGAATATGTAAAACAGGGCGATACTTCAAACTCTTTACCAGCTATGTGCAGGGGTGCCAACATAACGCGTACATGATCATGTCTCTATATGCATGATTGATGAAGAACTGTTTTTGTTTGTTTTGTTTTTTTTAACAGCGGAACACAGATACCACAAAGTACCATTCATTCAAAAATTGCTTACTTGGGCTCGGTTCTTTTGATTACAGAAATGCAATCTTTAGCTGATGGTGTTTTTCTTTTTATTGGTTTCTGCAGTGACTTTTAATGCCAGAAACGTGCAGGTATTGTAAGTCAATGGTTGTTGGTTGTTGAACACGAGGCAGTGTGGCAGTTTATAGTAATATTTCATATTGGGACAGGATGTAACATCATGTCCCACCCAGTTACATTGTCCTGACACCAGGCAGACGAATGTTTTGGATTTTTATCCTGACTCCAGATCGACCAGTGTTTTGGATTTTTATAATGTAGCTTTAACAATTTTTTGGTCATATTGCTTTGATGTGTGCATTGTGATTGTTTAGTGATGTCTGGCACTGGGGTATCATACTGCAGACATGTAACATCATTCACAGTCACAACCTGACACCAGGCCGATTAGTCCTGACACTAGCCACTTCATGCTGAGTCCAAGGGAGGCAGCTGCTTGTACCAATTTAAAAGTTTTTGGCATGACTCAGCCAAGGTTTGAACCCTTGACCTCCAGTATTTAAGGTGGACACTCTAACCACTAGGCTACCTGAGCAGTCAGGGCAACCGGTCCTAATACTAACCAATTAATGCTAAGCACCAAGCAGAGCAGCTGCTAGTACCATTTTCATAAGTCTTAGAGGTGATTTAGCATGTGTACTTGACAGGTAAGGTTTTGTAAAAATTATTGACGTTTCATTCATTTCATACTTACTGAAATGGCCAATGATTTTTCCAAGCATATAAGCATGAAAGTAAGAGCAAAACCTAGCATTTGATTGACAAATAGCTACAAAACATAAACAGTATTAATGTATGATCAGATAAATGTCGGATTTAATGCCAATTTCTGTGATATCACAATTGTAGTCCCCTGGGTTTTTTTTATGGAGATCAGTACCTGGCCACCATTGTAAAAGTCCCATACCAGTACCAAAAAAGTTGTCTGTAAGGTTTCTTTGAGGACAATTAAAGTGTTGAGTATTCAACAATCAGGATTAAATATGCTATGGTTAAACCATATTAGCATTAAATTTTAAAAAATCATTTAATATTTAATTTCATTTGCATAAATGAGTCTACACGACATTGTCACACACTTTACACATTGCAGCATGAAGGAAGATACATAGATGGGTGCTTAGTTGCTTTTTATAAAAGAGAAATAGGTCAGGTAATTTATTTATGGCAGAAATGTTATTGTTTTTAAATGGTAATTAGTTTTTTCTTTAATAGGCCTACTTTGTGTTGTAAAGTGAAATAGAAAGTATTGAACATATACAATTCTTTTAATAGTAGGCATATCTTTTGGACTCTGTCTCTTGCTCAGGTTGGACCAATATTGTAAGCCACAGACAATCATCTGCTACATGCCTTTCTCACTTATGGCTGTCAGTGTGGCAATTTCCTCCTTTCTCATGAAGATGCATAAACAGCTGATTCAATCTCTGAGTGCGGGTAAATTTTACTTTCAATTTATTCAACAAGATCTTTTACACTGTTTGAATGAGCCGATCAAAATTTCTCTTTCACGCACAGCCACTTATCATTAATAAAATGGGTACATTCATTGATGTATAGGAGATTTTGACATTGTATTTTTGATGTATTTTTGTTTATACATACTCTTAAAATAAAATTAAGAAATCTCTGGACATGTAGCTGCAGGTGACAATGGTTTGTAACAAGTTATCACTGGTGACCTGCGATGATGATGCTAGACAGTACAATAAAAGTTCCTTCACTTGCACATTTGTTCAACATAGACTTACATCATATTGAGATAAATCTTGCATGTCTAATTCCTTGTGAATAAAGTTGTTGCAAAAAATCTGTTGATGCAGCTGCTGTGGATTTGATCTAAGCATTGTGGCATACAGGTCAGTTCTAAAAAGTTCAGAACACAGCCTAAATTAGCATCACATTGACTTGTTAATATATATTCCTTTATAGAACTTTTATTGGCATATAAAAATGTATAATTATCATGCAGTTTAATTCTACACTGGTCTTTGATAACAACCAAATGAAACTGTTGCAACAAAAATCCTGCGTGACCTGCTTTTGCCAGTATGTGACCGCTCCGGTGGCCTAGTGGTTAGAGTATTCACCTCATATGCAGGTCATGGGTTCGATACCCGGTTGAGTCATACCAAAGACTTACAAAAATGGTACTAAAAGCTGCCTCGATTGACGCTCAGCATTAAGAGGTTAGTGTTAGGACTGGTTGGCCCAGTGTCAGGATAATCTTCCTGGCTGGGACATCATGCTACATGTCTGCAGCATGATGCCCCAGTGCTAGACATCACTATAAAATGACACACTACAGACATCATATCGATATGACTGAAAAATTGTTAAAGCTTCGTTAAAAATCATAATCACATCACTTCGCCAATATGGGACAAGAAACATAGTTATGTTCCGAAGTTCTGTGCCGGGTATGAGCAAATACACTATCTTAAAATAATGGCTGGCTGGTTCATGTTTCTTGTTTACTATGATGAAATTTGAACATACTGGCAAGAGAACCAGTGCAGTATGGTTGCCTTTGGTAAAGTCAGATGTTTTCCAGTACAAGTTTGTTCATTTAGTCTGAAGAAAAAAAAATTAGTTTCCCCGTTTTTCAGTTATTGCTCAATAATTTTGTACATGGAATGCTCTTATTGTACCAGCATTGTTAAAGGGGCAGTATCTTAAGTGACACTGTTGTTTTATTTGTTAATAATGTTTGGATTTTCTGACTATATCGACAGAGTGCATTCTTTCTATGTTTGGCCATTTTTCATTTATTAAATGGCTTTATAGTGTTGGATTTTAAAAAACATTGCTTTTACAATTTTTCAGCTATATTCCTACAATGTCTGCAGTGTGGCAGTTTGTAGTCATGTCTA